CATTGTAGTTATATCACTTTTAATTAAAAACCCAACAGTGTTGAGAGTATTTCAAGTTTATACAAATTTTCACTGTAGAGTTAAATAGTTGTACTATCGAACAGTTGTATTGTGGTTACATTTCCTTTACCGTACTGCTTTTTTAGTTTTGTTACTGGAATTCCTATTTTTCTTTGTTCCTGAAGTTTCTTCTTATAGCCATCCTTAATTTTTTCTGAAGTCCCTCGATATCATGTATTTATCAAATGAACAGCCCTCTTTCTCCTTCATCAACTTTCTGCTTCATCTGCTGTTCTTTAGATCTGCTGCGCAGTTATCCTGAGTCTATCTTGACTGTTGTCCTGGGTTGCAGCCAGTATTTCCTGGTCTTCATGTCTTTCTGTTTCCTAGTTTACATGCTGTATTGCTGGATGCAAATTATCTGAGTCTTTGCTGACTGAAAATGTTTTTCTTCTTCTCTCTACCCCACACTTGACAGACAATTCTAAGGAGAAAATCATTTCCAATCAGAATTTTGAAGGGATTTCTTTGTTGCCTTCGAAAGACAATAAATGACTGGCTATTAATAAACTCAAAAGTAATGGATTAAACATGCCAATGCCTATTTTGGTGTCCCCATATATGAACCTCTTAAAAATTCTTAGAAAGAATATAGATCACATGGTAACAAGATTTTAGTTTAAGGAAGGACTGGCTACATAATTTGAGGGGCCCAGTGCAAAATGAAAACGTGGGGCCCTCTCTTAATAAATTATTAAAGTTTTCAAAGCAATGATTGTAGAGCATTAAAGCAAGCATAAGGGCCTTTTAAGTGCAGGGTCTTGTGCAACTGCACAGACAGCACATCTGTGAAGCTGGTCCTGGTTTCAAATCTGGCTCTATAGACCATCTCTCAATCTTCAGTCCCTCACTTAACTTCACTGAGCCTATAGTCCCATTTATAAAATAGAAATAATAATATCTATCCTTCCAACAATCTGGGGTTGTGATTAGCTATATATTACATGGTAAAAGTAATATATGTGTAAGCAGTCTGTAAATCATAAGAGTGTAAAGAAGACTAAGTATACATGAAATATTTTCTGCATCATTGATAAAAAGTCTTAGATTGGAATGTGCTTCATTATAGCTCTTTTATGGATGAATAACTGATATACAGACATTTCATAGCTTTAAATATATATTTTAGAGTCATCTAATACTAGAGTTTTGTACAAGAGAAACTACAATTCATTGCTGATCATCACATTATAATCTGAAACTCTAAATTAATTTCTTAGACCAAGGGTCCACCAACCATAGCCCACTGCCTGTTTTTGCACAGCTTTGAGCTAAGAATGATTTTTATTTTTATTATTTTTATTGAGATATATTTGACATAAAATATTGTATCAGTTTATAATATACAACTTATTGGTTTGATTCATTTATATTTATGATTGCCACTATAGCATTAGCTAACAACACTATGGTGTCACATTATCTTTTCTTTTAGTGTTGGGAACAATTAAGATCTTAAGGGACTAGACTAGAAAATGGCAACTCTCTCTGGCTGGACCAGTTAGATAAAGGCACTCTCTCCCCCAGGCAGGCCTGCACTGGGGCACAAACTTAGGTAGACAGGGATGCCTTTCAGTCTCCATTTGTATGCCCAGGGCCAGACACCCTTATGCATAGCACAACCTGACCAACAATATATTGCAGATCTGAAGCAGGTGGATCCCTATCTGTATTTTATTTTATGTTTAGACATATTTTGTTGGAATCTTCCAGGATGTTAAAAGAAATTAATGTTTGATAATATGCTCTGTTGGTGAGGCTGTGGCTAAAGTTACTCTCATACATTATTGGCAGGAAAGCAAACATCATGCAATTCCTACAGAAAGGAATTTGCCAAATTCTAGCCCAATCATGTATGCATTTACCTTTTGACATGGAAATTTTAATTCTAGGCATCTGTTGTAAAGAGAAACTGGCAAAAACACAAATTGACTTATGCCTAAAGCTATACTTAAAGACATTATTTAGAATAGTAGTAAATTGGAAACAACCAAAAGATCTATTAACAGTAGACTGGCTGAATAAACCAGAATTGGCAAACTTTTTCTATAAAAGGCTTAATAGTAAATATTTTAGGCTTTTTAAGCACACTATCTCTATTGCAATATTCAACTCTACCATTATAGCATAAAAGCAGCCATAGAAAATAAATGAATTTTAGTGTGGCTGTGTTTCAATAAAACTTTATTTGTTGACACTGAAATTTGACTTTCATATAACTTTTGTGTCACAAAATAGTCTTCTTCTCATTTTGTTTTCAGGTATTTAAAAACATAAAATTCATTCTTAGCTTTAAGTTATACAAAAACAGATAGCAGCCTAGATTTGGCCCTCAGGCTGTAGTTTGTCAATACCTGGAATAAACTGTGGCACATTCCCACAATGGAATCCTGTATAATTGCACAAAGAAATGATGAAGATGTCTACGCTGATATGGAGCCAGAATGTAGTAAGTGAAAAAAACAAGGACCAGAACGGTATCTATAGTATGCTATTTTTGCATAAGAAATTGAAGAAAATAAGGGTATATATGTATGATGTTTATATTTTCAAAAAGAAATTATGGAAGGATAAACCAAAAACTAAAGAAAGCAGTAACTTATACAAGGAGGGATAAAACAGGGTAGAATGGACAGGAGTGAATGTAACTTGTAATATTGTTTTGACTTTGGGATACAGTTTTGATATAATTAACAAATAAAATGATATAACAAAGGAAAACATTGACTGAGTTGTCAACATTTTAAAAAATGGATATTTTACCAAAAAATCTTAATTTCCTTTCTTATGAGATATTGAAAGATCTGGCTGATATCACTGAGTCTACTTTCCCATATGGCAGCTGTCTGAGGGAGCAAAGATTTAGCAACTTTCTTTTCAGTAAGACATATATTCTTTGATTTGCTACAGGACCCACCTAGTTGGCTTCACTTTATCTTGCTTGCTTGGCCTGTGTAGGCATTCAGTTTGCAACTTCTGCTCTAGAAGAAGCAAATGAATTAATTTTTGATGCTTAGTATAGTGGTAATTGGAAACTATTCAGTATTTTGAGCATAAGTATACAATGATAAATGTAGTATTTCAGGGAGATTAGCCCACCAGTGTTATGTGTAATGATTGAACCTGATTCCAGAGAGGCTAATCCAGAACAGGTTATGCTCACATGGCCATGAGATAAATTGATGCGGATGGATGATGGCTGCGGGTTGGAGAGAAACTGAAGAAAAAGCCAACAGGATGGGAAAAGAGAATGAGGAATTATATTACAGCTAGAAAGGACCTGAGAGATCATTTAATCTCACACCCCTCTTTTATAGAAAACTGAAGCTCAAAGTGATAACAGACTGTATTTGAAATTTCACATCTGGTTAACATCAAAGTTAAGATCATCATCTAGGTTTTTCAAGTCTTAATATAATGTATTTGCCACTAACTGTTATTATTTTGAGGATTCCATTGACAGGCAAAGACAAAACTAGTTCCAGAACTTTATAACACTCCCAGCAACATGGCACTAATTGCACCATGGTGCCTCTGGCATATAAAGCAGGTACCATTCTGCCTGGTGGCAAAGGTGTATCACTGACAGAACTAGAGCCTTAAAGAGAGAATTTTGGAAGTGGGGGGAGAAGATAAAAAATTTGAGTTTTAAATATGGTGAGTAAAATGAAACATGTAATTGGTGATTCTAGTAAGCAGTTTTAAATCTTTACCAGTAGGCAATTTTACATAAGGAATTTCCCTGTTTTTTTGCTACTATAAATTAATATCCTTTTATTCAGGCTACTGGATCTGTTAACAAAAAAGAGAATTGTCACTATACATTTGTGGAAATGCATAGATACATACAATACAAAAAGTGAATCCTGATGTAAACTTTGGGCTTTAGTAATTAATAGGATACCAATAGTGGCTCATTATTATAATAAATATACTACACTAATGCAATATGTTAATAATAGGAAAAACTGTGGGTGCAGGTAATACATGGGAACTCTCTGTACTTCCCACTCAAATTTTTTTGTAAACTGCTCAAAACAATAAAGTCTATCAATTAAAAAAAATTATATTGGTAGAAAGATCCATTAGTAACCTAATGTGAGGCTACCCAATCATAAATGCCAATTTGCTACCTCAGTGGAGATCCACTGGAAAATATATTTAGAAAAGGTGCAAATGACTAAATGCTAACCCAGATTTACAGTGAATATTACTTTTTCTTCTGAAAAACAAATTGTGAGAATATTTTAAAAATCAATTTAAAATCAATTAAAAATATTCAACATTTTTTTGTTTGTTTTAAAAAGGGAATTGTTTGAAACCAATACACAATTTTCCAGCATTTTTCTTGCTGAAAGCTGACCTGTTTGTCATTGGCATTATTGATGAGATTGGTCTTTATACTTGACAGAGATTTTGTACTCTATTATGGATTACAACACACACTCACTGATTCTGTGGCAAATGGCTGGACATTATACATATAAGACTGTTGAAATGATCCACATCATTGCCAACCTAAATATGTCAGTCCCCTGGGAAATAGGAATTTCTAAAACTATACTGATTACCTGGTGGTCTACTGAGCCATTATCTTCAGAACAACCTATGGTTGTTCTCATAGTAATATAATCACATTTTTATTATCTTAAAACAGAAAAAGAGTGACTTGTTCATATTCATTCTCCAAGGACATTCTAAAAGTTCTTTTTCTCCTCCTTTTTCTTCTTTATTTTGTTTTTGAAATAAGTCACTGCATGATGACAAAGAAATGAATGAAAGCATATGTAGGCTCTGGCTTTGTTATGCCACAGATTTAAAATATTGGAGTCTTAGAGCTTCAAGGAATTTATTTAATTATTCTATTCCAATGGGTCTCAGCTGGGAATCATGCACCCATCCACCCCCTTGAGAGCCATTACTGTAATCCAAATGCTTCATTTTGTGATAAAGAAATTAAGATTCAAAGATATTGGTTGATTTGCCCAAGCTCTTTGGTGGTAGATCCTGAGCTTGAATCCATTTCTCCTGTCCTGTACAACATCTTTCCTTTCACATCATGTTACTTCAAGTCAATTGATGCAGTTCTGTGTATCATTGGCCTATATCAATGAAAAGCAGTGTATTAAAACTCTATGATTGCTACAGTCCCATCCAGCTCTACAATACTATCAATGAACTAACTGTGTATAGGTGTGTGAGAGTAGGTGTGTGGGAAGAGGTAGTAGTTTTTGGCTTTCATTCTTTTTCTCTCTTTCACTTAACTATAAAACAAATAAGGAAATAAAATATATTAGATCCAGCATGAATAAGGAAATTGTACTGTAGTTGATTTCCAGGGTCATCCTGTATGTCACTGCAGGCACAGAGAGGCTCTCATGAGGTTCTCATCTTTTGCAGGTTGACTAGACTATCACTTTTCACCTTCTACCCAGCTACACTTCCAGCAGTAGGGGTTTATATAATAAAATGCACACACTGGTATAAATGCTCAGTCTTAAAGTTCTACTTGTTTCCAGAGCATTCAAGCTGTAAGTAACAGAACCATCATTCCTACTTCTGATGAGTATAGCGTTATATAATTCCCTCTGCACAAATTTAAATACCTTCTTTATGGCTGTCTTACCTCTCTGGATTGGGATGATAAGATCTCATTTTCTTTCTGCCTTGAAGAAAGATCTGAGAGAAGCTTTAGTGGACCTGGTAAATTACTCCTTTTGGACTTCCTCAACTCTGTGGCTTATATTCACCATCATGTAAGGGAGACTCCTTTTCAATATACTCTCAAGTTTTGAGAAAAACAAACTACCAGAATTTGAATTGTTGTTCTGTGGCCAAGAGGCAATTCCTGGCTTCTGGCTCTAACTACTCTGTATACCTCTCTGAATTGTGAAGATTAGTGACGCTGTGGGCTATATTTCCTTGTGAGAGCGCCTTTGGGTACATGTGCTCTCCTATTTATCCCCTGAGCCAAAGACTACAGACAGCAGAAATTATTAGGAACAATGGTGTTCCTTAAATACAAATCTTATCTTTGTGTAGTTTAACAGGAAACCCAGTACCTTAGGGAAAAAATAAAATTGGAGGTACAATCCTTGAATGTGTAGAAACCATGCTTTAAACAGGATCCTGTTAATGATTAACACAGCTGAGACTATTTGTCTTATAAACTGAGGAGGGTAACTCAGAGTTATGGTTTATATAATTAGAAACCATATTTGCAAACAGATTCCTAAGTCTACTTACTCCATAATGTTCAATACACACTTGCACATGTACATATACTTGAAGAGGAAAAAAAAATCAAGAAAATATTGCTTCGAATACCTTTTTTTTTTTATATTTCAAGATAATAACCACAGCTACCAGGACAGGCTACTTGAGAATATCAAAAGCATCAATCAATTTCATAGTTAGCAGCATCTTCTTTCTTTGGGGAACACTTTGTATGAGGTAGAATGTGCCTATTTTCTCCCCTCTACGAGGGGAGCTGGATAGAGAGGGTGAGAGCAAGCCTGCCAGTTCTCCACGGATGGACAGGGAAAGAGAATTAGTCAGAATTAGTCAGAATCTTCCACCTGCTTCCCAGATACCTCTTACCGTTTTTGCCTTATTTGTCTTTTCCTTCTAAACTTGGACTATTTGCATACATAGGCAAAAAAAAAAAAAAAAAAGAAAGTGCATATAACTTTGCCACAAACAATGGACAATTAAACTAGATTTTTAAGAACTGCCTCATATCACCTCCTCTGCGCCAGATTTTCAGGTTTGGGATCTGAAACTTAAAAATAAAAGAAAATCTCAATGCAAAAATCCCTTTTAAATTGCTCTACCCCACCCCAACTCTTTTTCTCTTCTTTCTCTGACTTTTTTTCTAGTTTCCATTTATGGAAGGGGAAAACATGTGAATAAATACGGACTATATCCATTAAAAGCATTATCTGTCCTTTGCTGTTGTTCACTAGTTTATTTATCAAATATTCTTTGAACGCACTTATATATTAGCTAAGTGCTAGGTGTGCATGTAATAGTCAACAAAACAGACAAGGTCTTAATGAAGCTTATAGTCTTATAAATTAGACATTAAATCAAATACTTTCTATGTGAAGAAATAACCAAGGGTAACTAATTTAGGCCAGAGGGCCAGAGAAGGCTTCTTTGAGGCAGTAACACATGATTATCTGAAAAATATTTGATGATGACTCTGTATATTCTGGACAAATTATTCTCCTAAATCTTATATAAAAAATATCTCTAAGCATATCCACGTATCTGCAAAATAAATGTAATGAAAAGGTGTGAACATTAATTTTTAAGTGTGGTCTATTCTTTTTTCCTGGATTGCAAATGGTTTTATTTAGTAAACTTGCATTTTCTAGTATTATGAGAGAAGACCCCATATAAAAATACTTCTTTATTTGATGTCAGTGGTGTTACTAAGTACAGTGGTAAAGACAAAAGCAGTGAACCAGATAACTCTTTTTTAGATGTATAAGGAAGAATTTAACATCCCAATATGAATGAGAGAGGGTGTCTGCCTAGTATTATAAACAGAATCAAACCCTTTTTCGATTATACTTTCATTGTTATTGCAATCAATGCAAAGGAAACAAGGAACACACAAACATGAAGTAGTAATTTTTCTAGACATTATCTTGGTTAAACTTTAGAACTTTGTTATAAATCCATGAAATACAGTCTACCTCAGAGTAAGCCCACATTGGATCCACCCCCAATGAAATTGCTGAATTAACAAGATAATATGAAAATTTGCTTTCAAATTTATAAAGTGCTTAATTAACTTCCCACCTGGTTCTCGAAACAGATCTTTGAAGTATTAATATTAACCTTATCCTGCTATTTTAAAAAAGAAATAAGAGTTTAGACAATATAGTGAATTAGTGAGTGGGGAACTGAGTTTCAAAACTTGGTTTTCTGACACCAAAGCCTGTGGTTTTGCTGCTGTATTGCTGCTCAGCCTTATTTTAAGTGAGAGAGCCCCCGAGGCTGTCCTGAGAAGAGTGACAGATTTCACACTGTAATATATCAGTTGGACAATCACACTTTCTGCTCTGTCACTTCATGAAGACTTAGGGGTCAAAACCTCATCTCATCCTAGTTTTCTTTAGACATGCACTATAAAATCTTATATTCAAAAGCAGAAGGGGAGTTAAAACTAAAACTTTTCATGTGGCTTTGAGGCACTTTGTGACTAGCACCTGTAGAAGCAAACTGCTCAGTGAGATCCACACCTGAGTCTCATAGCTGTATTGCTGCCCTGTCTTTCATACAAAAGAAAGTGGAAAGAGGTCTCTAAATAAGGTAAGAACTTGCAAACATGCTGAGAACATCTCCTCCTGGAACAATATTTAGTGGAGAGAGTTCTTCACAAGCCTGCCTCCTCTTTAGAGGAAATCTAAAAGCCTTCCGAAAAGAGTCATGTGTGTCCTAATAATTTCAACATTTAAAGAAAAGCAAGTTCCTGACCTTAAGAAAGATAATAATAACAGTAATAATGATGATGATGATGATAAAATAATAAAATAATAATAATAATAATAATAATAATAATAATAATGGCAATGAGAATGGAACACTTTTGCTTATTTGGTCTCCATTGTTCTGAAGTAATTCCACTTTTGGCAGCTTAAGCATTCTTGAATTATTTTCCATCTCAGAATATTTAGGTAGATTATAGCTGATTTCTAATTACAAGAAAAATTGTTGTCTAAAATTACAATAACTGTGTGTGACTGACATTGTTAGTTGGCCAACTCCACAATCACTCCAAAAGAGATTCTTGCAAAAATCTAGAAAGGCCCATACTAGCAGTAGGCTTGTGAACCAGTCTTAGCCAAAGAAACATGAAGGAGGTCTCTTGAAAGCCTTCTGGGGTAGTTTCAATATACTGTTGAAGAGATGTTGTTGACTTCCCAGTCTACTTTCTTCTTGCCTTTAACTTAGCCATGATGCCTAGAGCTGTCACAGTCTTCTTGTGACTGTGAGCATTGAGATCATGAGAGTGAAGAGCCAGAAATCTATGGAGACCATGGGTAGAAAGATTGAAAGAGTCTGTCGTAAATGTTGTTAACCAGCTGAACTAACACCAGCAATTGGCTACTTCCAGCTTCTCCATTATGTGAGAAGGTAAATAAATGCCTCTTTGTTTAAGCTACTGTTCTTGCGACTATCTGTAATGTGCAACTGAACATACACTTCAACTGCTAACAGTTATCAGCTTTCAGCTAGTTACTAAAACGGTTTAAACCTGTTTCCTTATATATAAAATATAAGAAGGCTGAACCCTTTTAGATTTAAGAATGCTGATTCAAAAATTTCATTGGCCCTATTGTATTTAGAAACAAATTTTTTTCAAAAAAGGTACTATACATATTTCAAGCTTCTATTTTCAATTTTATAATTAGCATGATCTTTGTAGCGCCATGGGGATATGAAACAGTACATATTTTGTTGTCATTTGCTTACTATTTAAATGGTTAGGTGACTTCATGAAAAGTATTTTGTGTTTTTATGATTCTTCACAAGTGTCAATGCAATAGGAATATTCCACTGAAATTTATGGAATGCCAAAATTCACAATGTATACTTTCTCACACAAAAACCTACAAAAGTAATGGCTTATCACTGAAGAGTATCTATTTTAAGAGGACTAAGACTTAATTGTCTTGATTGTCCTGGTTGTCTTTGATTGTCCTCATCAGGACAATTTATAGATTGTGGACAAGGAGTCACTGTCAGGACAGAATACGAAAAGATAATGTTTTCTACAGGCAAAGATTTCAGATAAGGGTGTCTTTTATCTCCCTATTTATTTAATCTGTATGTAGAATATGTATGAAAAACTGGGCTAGATTCAGAGGAAGCAATGAAAATTGGTAAAATACCAATAACTTAAGATATGCAGATGACACCATCTTACTAGCAAAAAGTAGCAATGATTTGAAATGACTTCTGATGAAAGGGTAAGAAGAAAGTGCCAAAGCAGGACTGTATTTAAACATCGAAAAGACAAAAATCATAACTATAGAAAAAATACACAATTTTAACATAGATACTAAAGATATTGAAATTTTTAAAGATT